CAAAACCCCAAAACCCCAAAACCCCAAAACCCCATGGCAAGTATTTAGTATTAAAAATTAATAAAAATCAGAACTTAAATATGAGTACTCTCTCAGTATTCGTAATAGACCTTGACACAGCCAACTGGCAATTCATTGTAAGTTTATATTAATAGGAGGTGAACACTCATAATCTCTGAAGATTTTGAGATACTCCTTCTTGATTCTTAGAGGAATTTAATAGATACTCAGTTGAAAAATTAAAAACTAATAAAATTCGGATTGCAATCTGAGAGTCTGAGAGCGGCTAATAGCTAATAGATTCTTCAGTCCCTGCAATGCTAATACTAGTTTTGAACACTTTGCATTTCCATTGGTTCAAATGTAATGTTCTTATATGAAGTTATCGTCGCTTTTTCAAAATCTAGATAATTATTAGATCACTGAACACTCTTTTTCTAATATTTTAGTTCATAATTCTTTGGATGAGAATGTAGAAGAAAAACTTAAAGGATTTTTTAATTTTGAAAGAAATAATATGCTTTAAAATTTTTCTAAATATTTTATCAATATTCTCCTTTGTCTTAGATATTAAGGGCTAGATTATGTCATAGTTATCCCCTAGGTTTCATTTCTTCATTAATATTTGTTAGAGACTCATCCTGCTTCTTACCAACTCATCAAGATTTAGGAAGGGAGTCTTCAATTTTCTTCATAAATGCTATTTTGAAGGTTATCTCTAAATTCACATCCTTTAATTCTAAAAATCAATCCTAGAAATCTTTGTGGTGTCTTATTATGGTGAGATAACTTAATGTGCTCAGAAAGGGTTGGTTTCTTTATTTACAATTAATCGATAATATTTTAAACTACGAACCATAAGGGAACTCTTCAAAAAGAATACTATATATTTTGCATTATGCACATAATCAGAATATACTTTAATAATACTGAGAAAATCGAGAAGCAATTATTGTGGTAGCTCAAAATTTTTCAGATTCAATATAACCTCCAATTTAGGCAAATCAGAATAGCCAGGAAAAATATGAAGAACTTTCTGATCCCTATAGATACAGCCAACAAGTGTACGACCACGAAAGAGTAGAACTCAGAAAGTGATTAGAAAGTATTAAAAAGTTGCTCCATGGTAAATCTTCGAGAAAGAGCATTTAATTTATTTCATAGACTCAGTAGAAACAGTATTATTCTACTCCAAGTTTTAATACCAAATCCTCTCAACAGATTTCAATAGAGATAAGGCATTTCTTTTCAGAAGAAGCAAAAATCTCAGAGAATCCATCACTTAAAAGTGAGAGTATATCTACAATCACACAAGAGAGAGTAATGCCTATTCAACAGAGAATTAGATCTATTTTCGGAGTCCAGTCCCTTTTTCTAGAATTAGGACAATTTATTGAAAAATCTTACAATGCTGTAATTTATTCAGACAATAACAACTTCTTTGACAGAAGTTGAGCTCGAAACATCCTTGATAAATCAAGAAATTCAGGCAGAACTTTAATTTCTCAAAGAAAGATTTGATTTTTAATTGAAGACCTTCAAAAGCGTCGGTTGGAATCGGCTAAATATAGCAACCAATATCAGAGCTACTTAAAAAATTCTGAAGTAGACCTTAAAAATGCTGATGAAGAGAAACTCTGTTCTTCTATGACTAAACCTGGCGAAGAACATAAGACTTCAAGCCAAAGCTTGTCCAAATTTTTTCCAAGTGATCACTCTTCTGAAGCTACAACTTCAACCAAAGCAAGTACTAATATAAGTTTTGGAGAAAATATTATTGATAGGGACGATCTATCTTCAATGTCTGGGGGTTCAATAGTATCTATGTCATCTAATTCATCACAAAGAACCTTCGAGATGAAATAAAATAGATCAAGCATTTAAAACTGATCGGGTCTATAAGAGTTCTCTAATTGATCTCTTGGAGAAACTCCCTAAGTACTTTAATAAAGCACCTGAGAACGAATCGGTGAAGTACATCAACTCTCTTGACAACTTAATAAATCAGCATCTGAACAAGGTTGAGAAGAATATGAAAAGCAAGATGACTAATAAGGATAAGGAAGATTATTTCCTCTTTGTCAGAGACTATCTTATTAGAAAGCAAATTACAACAGGGACTATACTAGAAATGTGGGCTACTACCAAATTCGGAGATTCCAAAGACAAAATGATACAGAGCAATGTTATAAAATTTGATTTTGACCAGCTTGATCTTGTTTTAAGTAAGCTTAAAGCCTCCAAAGAAAAATTCTCTCTCAAAGGTTATGATTTAAAGTGCGATATTAAAGTATATGCTCGAGTTTGTTATGTGGTCATCAAAAAAATACTGAAAAATGATTTGAATAAATCTGAGAAACCAGTAACTTCAAATAGGAGGCTCTGTGACAACATCCATCACACAGTTAAAAGTTATTATAATAGCAAGAAAATTTCTCAAGACCAGAAAGATCTTATCAAAAACGATAAGAAAATCAAGTACATTATATCTGAAATTTTGAGAAGCAGGGGAATCTGGAAAGAAGAAGACAAGAAGTTTCATATCAATACAACTATGATCGAGAATCAACTCAACGAATTTTCTAAGTATGACTCAGCAGAGATCATTAGAGACTTAATAAGAGATATCAACAAGGTAATCTCCAAGTAAGAAGGATCAATACTCGAACCCACTTCTCCCTCCCCCTCATAAGCTATTATTTCCAAACGCACCCAATAAGAAATCCCTTCCTGAACACCATAATTTCACAATTCTCCCAATCCTAACCCACAACAGCACATAATCTCAACCACCCTCTTACCCCCTGGGGTTTTGGGGTTTTGGGGTTTTGGGGTTTTGGGGTTTTGGGGTTTTCAATCAGCCTCTTACACCCCGGGGTTTTGGGGTTTTGGGGTTTTGGGG